TGGACCGGTGGCAACTGCATTGGTGGTGGTTGCATGTTTTGGGCAACATATGGTTCTTGAATAGTAGTCGATTCTGCAACAGGTTGCTGTGAAAATGGTTCATTGTTTACATTTCTGCCCTGTGGATTAGTGGGGTTATTCTGGGGAAGGTTATTCGTTGGATTAGTGGCTAATGGGGTGTTATGGGTAAATTGGTTCATCACTGGCGGTCCGAAAGATCGTGGTTCAGTGGTCGGATGCATCAGGCCATTCAAGCCATTGAAGACACTCTGCATGTACAAGGATTGATCGGCCATATCCACTGCCCGGGTCGTGCGCGGCAGTGGTGGCATAGGATTCACAATCCCCCCAACGACCTGTCTCCCCGTCCTGCTCTCGTTGTACCGCCTCCAAGGATCACTATTGGCCCACGGGTCCTGAGGTGCTGCTGGCAATGTGGATGCATTAGATGGGGGTCCACCAGAAACTGTCGACCAATGATCAGTTCCGGATTCTTGTCCAACATTAGCATCTACTTCATTGACCATGAGGACCGTGGTTGATGTGATTACACCTGGGGGAATCTGGTCGGCGGTGTCCAAGTCTACGAACAAGTTCTGAGACGAGTCATTGGCTGCAGCCCGTCTTGGGCACTTGGCAACCAGATGATCTTCCGAACCACATTCGTGGCATCTCATCTTACGTCCATCCGGGCCTCTTGGATTGCCCTTTCTGCCCTTACCCTTGCCACTCCCTGCCCCTTTCTTTCCACCTTTTGCCCTAAAGGCAGGGAAAATTTCCATGAGCTGGGATTCATTGAGTTCGGACAAATAAGATGAAGTGTTGATGATCTTGCCTTTGGGTTTTCCATGTTTTGACTTACCACCTTTTCCACCTTTATAGATGGCTCTGCGGGCAAACCTCCGAGCTTTTCGGGTCGGCTTGCCCATGAATGACCTCCAACGTGCCTTAGCACGGGAATAGGCCCAGTAGAGCTCGGCAGCCTGCTCATTGGCCGTGGCACCCTCAGCAGCTGGCCAGGCTTCTTCGCCATAGTCACTGCTGGTGTCAGTGTCTGTGCCACTGTCACCCTGACCCTCTGACAAATACACGTATGGATCTTGCGGCGGTGTATAAGTGGGGTATGCTTCGGATGAATGCCATTGGGATTGCCAAGAACTCTGGTCATGCCAAGAACTACTGGGTTGGTCATTCTGTGATGTGAATACATTTTCATTCCATGAGTGCTCGTCCTGAATATGGTAACTGTGTGTTGGATTTTGTCTACCCCGCAACATGTTGGACATATTTCCTGGTGCATTTTCAATGATCCTACCCATGCGTCGAATGGCACCTTTCAACTCCGTGAACTGCTGTTCATCAGCAGGGAGAGCACCACCGAGTGGCTGCAGTAGTTGGATCAGTTGAGAATCCGAGACACCAACTGCACGGATCAGCAACCAAGAAAGACCAGCATAGCTCAGGGCGAGCCCACCTGTCTCTGCCGCACGCATGCGGGTAGTATCAAACCTAGTCAGCAGCATGTCGATCCTTTCATTGGATTCCCTGCCAAATGACAACAGATCTCCTACTGCCCCTAGCCGGACTTCCTCACCTAGCCTGGCAAATCGGGTGCTAAGTTGATACATCAAAAACGTTAGTGGGTCGGTTTGGGTACCATTTACGGTACCCCCTGTCAGGATGGTCTGGGGCGGAAGTGTCCTGCTGAATTCCCTGGCTGATCCCTGCAGTTGAGAAATCACACTAGCCGCCTTTCGAGATGCATCCCCATCTGTAGCAATGCTCCAAATTAAGATGTCCCTAGACCAAGTACTGAAGCTATACTGATGCTCCATTTCTGGGCTCCATGCGGGGGGCAATCTTGGATGGCTACTCCTTCCTGGCACCATGCAAGCCACTAATGCACATGTGCTGAGGCCGCCTCCAGCGGCTAGCACCAGTGTCGAGTCCGAGAGCGATCTACCATCACGGTGACCAGCGGTCATCGAACCCGAATTGCCATGGGCTTCAGGAGACTTCACCTTCCGATTGCCTGCTCTCGATCCGTTCATGCAATGTTTCCTGGATCTAATGGCTGCATCTTTCCCATAGACCAGCTCACAGAGTTCCATGTGACGGGACTTTAGATGTTTCAGCTTAGAGTCGTACATGGTTAGCAATCTTTCAAGTACCGATCTCTGCTGCCGTCTAAGCCGCCTACGCAAAAGCTCTGCCCTACGCTGATCTCGAGGGTTCATCTTGAACTTCCTCCTTGAGTGGTGCAGCCGCACCAGGGTCGAATTCAGCTCCTGCCTCCAAAGATCCCCATTCACCAGGCTGGGCTTGTACTCGCCTTCGGACCTGGCCTGTACTGGGGCTTTGCGACCATTGCTCGCTGCATACCAGTGTGTAGTGACACTGATCGAGCCTGCCCCAACCGCACTGGACTGGATCACAAGAGCGCTGGTGTTGCGACTCTTGATCACCAGCCCAGTACTGGCTGAGACAGACCCCACCAGTGCCACTACTAACACGGCACACAACTTCAGCACGGCGGTGAACATGATGACAATCAATGGAGTAAGGATGAAAAGAAATGAAAACAGTCGAGTCGACCCTTAGGGTATAGCAGATACCTTAAATGGGGGTTACTGCCGGGGTTCCCGGCTCCGCTACCAACTCGAAAAAGAGAGGAACTAAAGTGACAAAGAAGTACTGTTTCCGCAAATGTCTGTTTTCCTCTGTCCGCTTGTGACGAAGTCTTGTGTTTACCTAGGTCGAGCTCTAGAGCCAGAACAGTTACATGGATAACAATGAACCTGAGGCATGGTAGATCATGTACCTTTCAAGTAGATACGCCAGTTGAGACGGCCAAGGAAGTAGGAATGTCCCCCATGTTCATCCATGTCCAAGTGGATATTTCATGATATTTCATCTTCCATGCTGGTGATCTGAGACTGCTACACTCCCCATCCGGGCAAAATCCACCGTCCAGGCCTCACAACTGCGAGTTCAACCACGAAAAATGCAGGACTTACAGTAACTGATTTAGGTCTGAATAATATAACAATTGGGCTGGTGAACCTAGAAATGTCAGTGGGTTGACTATCGCGGCTGCCAGGCTGCCACAGAAAACATCAGCCCAACGAATTATGTGGAGCAAGGGGTTATAGTAAAATGGTCGGTGTGCGAAAATCATGGTTCTCAAAAGCGACTTTTGAAATTATCTGCCTACGCTTTCCAAGCTGTATTTGAATGCGTCCAAGAATGGAGATACCTCTAAATCCGCCGAAGCTGTGTACTGAATGGGGGGCAACCCTGTTTTGGGGGCCATTCCTATTTCACCCTATTTAATTGCTGCGCCCGGAGACTGTCAAATGCGGAAGTCCATGCGATCAGGGAGAGAACCAGTTGCCTGAGCACAGCCCTTTGGCAGGTGACACCAGGACCTTTCGGACGGGACTTGATATGACTTAGATATCACCAAACTGTGAGTTTGGGGTTTGGGGGACCCCAAAATTTAACCCATACCTGCCTCAATGCTGGTTTCAAGCCTCTCGTAACAAGATCGGCCACTAAGGCAAGCACCATCGCACAAACATCAAGTAGAAGTCAAGCTATCAAACATCCAGTCAAGGTTTTTGATTCCATGAACACAAGCAGTTTGTGTGGGTCTTTGGAATTCAAAACCTGGGTTTCGGAGGATTTTTCAAGCTGTTGTGTCTTCGCTTTTTTGCTGTGATCTAAAGACGTCTTGAAGTACGGAACGACCTCCCCCTTGAGTGGCAAGGCCGCGAACCCAACTGGCTTCAGATGCCATGCAATTGGCTAAGGCTTTCCAGTTTCAACTCATCCAAAACCTGGAAATTGGTCTGTCCCAAAATTTCTGAAGCTCTCGGTCTGCATAATACACCAAGACCATGCAGATCCGGGAGCTTTGTCAATTCTTGTGATAGTTCCAGCAGTGAAATTCTCCCACGGCCATGGCGGCCAGATCAGCCAGTGAGTTTTCTCGGAGAGCACGAAGCTCGGGGTGAAACAAAGCAGCGCACGGATCTTTCGTGGCTTTGCATGCGCAGTGTGAAACCAACTATTCTCGAGCACTGGCTCCCATGGGTTTGTCCCAAAATTGGAACCCCTAACAAATGTCAAACAAATATTGATTACAATAGTTACAATAGTTTGTTCTAAGCTGAGTCCAAACACATGCCTTGACCTTTGACATTGAGACATACCCACCTTGGCAGCGTTTCTACAGATGCGGCGTTGACTCAGTATTGCCCTGATGCCTCCTCATCCAGATTTGCGCTCACTGAAAACGGCAAGAATCATTTGGGTTTCAAGAAAAAACTTTGGCAAAAAACATGATTGATTTCCTTTCGATTTTCCCTTGAACCAAGCCATTGAAAGACTGCTGTACGTTTTTTTGCCACCATCCGAGATCTGCACAGCAGGAAAGAGCTTGTCGTACAAAAACCTCGGAAAATGTGTCCAGCATGGACCAGCCTCCAACAGTGCCGTTTCAAAAGCGGTTTTCCCCCTTTATGGGTGGCCTAATCCATCAATGTAAGCTGGGTTAGTTCAACCCGTTCCAGCATGAAAGTCAATTGGAATCATCAATCATCATCCCATCCTTTTCCGGGGAAGATGAAAAACAACTTCAGTAAATTCCAGGTACTAAACAACTAGCGTTGTTGGCATCCCCATCGGTTGCTAACTCTATCCTGTTGTATCCCCATCGGTTGATTAGACCACACCACGCCTCAAAAATACTGAGGCATCCCACTGCAGAACATGTTCGCTGCTCAAAAGCAGCTCTACCACCTCCACAAGCGAAACATCCCAGTTGGAACTTATCTGGTCGGTAAGTGGGCCATGTTTTTTCACCGTGATAAAATGAGTTATAACTTGTTATAACCTATTTAACTTATATAACGTATATTACATAACCTTATGAAACATCATCTAGGGGGAGGGGATCATATCCAAAAAAAACATCCGCCGTGCCTTACGCCGATCCGTGACGGTAAAATCATCCAAGGTGGGCTGTTGTGCCTCGGGCTCCACTTTGTGGCATGGCAGATGTGAACCGACGGCAGAATCTCCGGTAGGGCCAAGGCTTCTATATACAATCTTGATACATGTCTATGTCGTGTGTACATAGACATATATATATATATGTATTGGTATGACTTATATATATGACTTACATAGATATATGACTTATATATATATGACTTACATAGATATATGACTTATATATATATGACTTATATAGATATATGACTTATAGATATATATATATGACTTATATATATATATATGTATGACTTATATATAGATATATGTATATTTATAAAAAAAAAAAAAAACACTTATAGGAAGTGACAAGGCCATCAAAACCTCTGGGATCTTGGGATCATCCCATGCCGAGGAAAGTCAAACCATGTAACTTGACCATGGCAAATGGTTGGTCGTTGCATATCATCCCGTTGTATCCATGAATTGTATCCTCATTCATTGACTATATCAATGGATTGACTTAAGGGAAAATCTACAGGAAACCATGGTTTTTACCATCAAATATAAGGGTTTCCTGTAAATTTTCCCATCATCCAGTTCTATGACTATATTCATGGCAGATATGGCCGAAAGCCAGGAATCTGCTTGTCGACCTGGACTTCCTCAGTGCCCCACCAGCTTTGCCACTTGAGGTGGAAGTGTCTCGGGGTAACCTCGCCCTTTTGCCTCAGCTGAGCTGAAAATGTTGATATGCTTCAGATGGTAATCTGGGATCCATGTGTAATCCATGATCAACCATCAAGTATCTACAATCTGGTGGCTATGAAATGAACCATCCCAAGTAGTAGTATACCCAGTAATAAACGACTAATTAAGGATGGCTTTTGGCACTGTGGGTCCCCCCATTACACCTTTAAACCCCCAAAATCGTCAAGACAAACGCTCCCCTTTTCACACCAGTTTCTGACCACAAAAATCAGAGGTGAAAGAGTCAAAACCATCAGAAGTTGTGGCCACAATTCAGAGGTCCAAAAGTCAAAACCATCGAAAATTGCGGGTCTTTGGGGGTTCCAAATGGCATGTCTCCTCCATCTGCACCCGGCGATCGATTTCTGGCGCCCTGAGAGCAGAACCTCCGGTCCTCGCAAGGCCGACCGCTGCTCAAGGGCCAACTTCCGCCGCTCAGAAATGTCGCCCTTCACCTCAATGGGTTGACGAGGAAAGGGATTACATCAGCATTTACTTAGAAATAGGGTGTCATATGGGTATGGATCAATACCTATTAATATCATTTTTAGTGGGATGAACATCCATTTACCAGCTATTTTGATGTTCACCAGGGGTACAAGGTTTTGACACACTGCCATATGGTGTCATTCCAATCAACTTCCTACTCACTGTGCCTGAGACTTCTGAATTTCTGGCAGCACCGAGATAAAAAAGGCAAAAACCCTGTCTGGCCCATCACTGCCCCCACCTGCTCTACGCACTCAATGAAGAAGGCCTCCCGCTGCTATTCTGGTTACTGAGGCATCCATCCCAACAAGTCCTAGTCAATTGAGACGTTCATGGCATTGCTTGGCTTCAGAAATCTAAAAAACATGTGGTAAACGCAATTGCGAAGCCATAGTATTTTGAAGCCCAATTGGTAAAAATATGGTACATTTTGTTTATTGCCAGGGTTTACACTTGAGGTTGTCCAAGAAAACAAATACACCCCAAAATTGGCATGAAATAGCGGTGGAAATCATGTTGTAAACCGCAAAAAAAATGATGGTTTTCCTGCGTCTGAAAATGGGGAAACTTATGTTCATTTTCAAACCATTGGATTTGCGGAGTTTCCCATCTTTCAAACCAATGTGGTAAACCCAAGCCGTAAACTATCCCCAATCGGAGGTTTATTTAATCCCGGCCCCAAAATGAATAGATCCAATACTAAACGTTGCTTTTTAAGGATATCTTGATAATAGATTAACCATCATTAAGCGCTACTAGTCAGCATTGACCTACTATGAATCATTATTAACCCCTTAATCATTGTCAGCAATCATCAACCATGCTTGGGTTTAGGGATTGTTGGGTAAAAACCCACACTTTCAACCAGCCCCTTTGTTTAGCACATGGCGCATAGCCGCCTCCAGCTCAGAGGGTTCCGTGAATTGCCGGTCAGCAATGGCTCTCAACTGAGCGTAGAGGTTGGGTTCCGTTGGGCGGGAGGGAGCTACCAAAATGGGAAAAAACATGAAGAAACTAAGCAAAATGATAAGATATATTGACATAGATTGAAATCTATTGAAACATTTCAGTGATTTAGCCATTGGAGTTCACTGGCTGAAGCCCCCAAGCTCCCGCGAGAAAGCAGCACATTAGTGCTGCATTGCCTTCCTGGGGAACCTCTCGATGGGTCTTAGGTTCATGCTTTGGTCGCTTGCTTCTGCTCTTGCTGCAACTGTTGCTTCAAGCGCCTCATGTTCCCCTCTGGTGTGTGGAGTGGGGAGTTGGTCAGATGGGGGGGTTAGAGTTCCCATGTGAATAGGAGATGAGTAGTATATAGGCAGTATACGTACAGGCAGTATATAGGTAGTATGTATATAAATATACTACATTATATAGGAGCACTATAAGTATTATGCAGGTTACATGTGGGTATGCAATAGGTAGGGCATGCAATACGCAATACATCAATGTATAGGTACACTTGTGGGAGGTTGTGATTTTGAAATTTTAAACCTAGCATTGAAACGGGAGGTCTTGGCTCACAAACGCTCATATAACGCACGTTGGATATTTGAGGGCAGAGGGGGAGCATACCATTTGAAGGTGGCCATTGGACCTGGAACCTCCAATTATATTACATTCCATTATGTCCCTCTTAATCCCTCTTGTAGATTGTTTTGTACCCCTATTATTCATTATTCCCCATTACCCTCCAGCAATCAAACATGGCAAGGGAAGATCCTCGATTTGGAGTTTGTGGATTCCCATTGCCACCTTTGATTACCGAAGGCTATTGGAAGAGCCCTTCCAACGGCGGAAGCGAGTTCCTAGCTTCACAGTTGTCTGGTATTTCTCCTCCAATTCCTGCAGGCAGCAGGAAGATCAACGGAGTCATGGGGAAAAATCACAGGAAATTGGGAATCAACCAACAGAAAAAGGGGATATCACCAACAATGATTGTATTGGTTTGACGGGAAACTGGTTGAAACTGGCTGGTCTTTACCGCTGTCTTCTAGATAGGCCTCCAATTCTGGGATTAGCATGTAAAATCATGATGAACATCCCTTCTGCCAAGAACGACACCGAGGTGTTTGCGTGTCGAATCCACAAACCAACCGCCGCTGTCACAACAAGCAGCCTGAGAGAGACCACTGTACGATGGGCCTCAGCGACAAAATGTGGAGCACACAATCGACGCAAGAGTCAAAAATGTTCCTCCAAACATATTTTGTCAGATCCAAAAAAGTGTAGTTTCATTCTTGTTAGTGAAATATGATCCGAATTCACAAATCTAAATTTGAATGAAATCCCAATATGAACTATCAGATAACTATCAGTCTTCAATCCCAAATCGTCTGAGGATGGAGCCCATCACCGGATCCTCAGTAGGACCTTCCTGAGCCTTGATGGCTTGTTGCCTGGGCCGCTTTGCTCCCATAGTGAATTATCCATTAACATGTGGAAAATATGCATTAATGTGGATAATCATATGGATATTTAAGTGATTATACTGGGTAATTTACCCTGATATAGGTAATTCTTACCCACTTTAAGTGGGTATCTGATCCCCCAAGATAAGTATGTCCAATCTAAGTGGCTATCAGTGAGTCTGTCATGTCCAAACTGGAGCCCTCTCCAGGTCCAAATATATAAGAATAGTCCATTCTGCAGGTAGCATTGACCTATACCCAATGGAGCAGTGATGCAAGCACTTGTGCCCTTCAAAAATTCGTTGATAGCATCATAAATGTAATACATTGTCGCACAACTGAACCCATCCTTTAAAAAAATATGTGTCAAAGTTGGGTCTACTAAAAATGAGGTGGAAATCTTCCCTCCCCTGGGTCCCTCTGGGTCTGCAGCTGGCCATCATCAGAGACCAGTGCGGCATATGCCGAGCTTTGCGCCTTGAAAATGGTGAGTCGTTCTTGTGATTTTTTTCAGGAAAAAAGATATACAAGTATATAATATATATATATATATTATTTATTTATCTATTTAAAGAAAAAACAACAAGGGCATGTTCCACATTTAGTGCAATCAAATCGGTATTCAGATCTTGGGTTTTGACAGCTGGCATGGCCTAACAGATCCTAACAGTATATGTGTATCTATTTTTCATGGCTTTTGTGATGAGTTCTGGTTTGAATACTGGATTCTAATGTGTTAACATGGGTGCAAACACTGGTCATACCTCCTAATGGATCATCCGCTTTATCAATGATGGTTATAGGCATAGGGATCCCTGTTGAGCCTGTATAGCCATGGGGGTAACCAACAGGGCTCAACTGGGCCTTGCTATTGCGACTCCTATACTATACGTTGTTTTAGATCCGTATATACAAGATAGAGTGAGCAGATTTCCTTGTTGCACCCCACGTGGGTTGGCCATGTAATGGAGCGTACTCATCCAAAAAGTCATGTAAATGTGAAATAGTTGAAAATATGATGACGAAAAATGAGATTTGGGCGTGTGTGTGTGTATATTATACATATACATATACATATGTGTACATATTACGTGTATATATATATATACATATATATGTATACACTATTCTAAGATAAACCCACTTGGTACATCTGGATAGGCCTCACATCACTCTGCAAGATAGCGACCTGTCTTTCTGCAAATCTGAGGTTCTGTCCTGTTCGACTGCACTGCGAAGAGACTTGTTTGTCCTCTTCAGGGCCGGCGTCCCGGCCAATCTTCCCATCAACAGGATGCTTGGGGGCACCATCTTGGGTATCTTTATTCATATTATATTATGTAGATCTTATTTGAGCGATTGGACATGCAACATATGTATACTATATACACCAATACATCATACATACTACATACATACAACATAAACATACATTACATACAACATACATCCATACATACATACATACATACATACATACCATACAACATACATACATACATCATACATACCATACATAACATAACATAACGTAACGTAAAGTAACGTAACGTATACATAACATTACATAACATTGAAATTACCTTACCTTTACCTTACCTTGCGTTAAATTACATTACATACATTGACATTACAGAAAGACAAAGACCGACAGACCAAACAGAGCGCATACCAAGACAGGACATACCAAGACATACCAAGATGGCATACCAATATACACATAGTACAGAAACATGACATGACAGGACAGCCATTACATACCATTACATACCATTACATACCATTACATACCATTATATACCATTACATACTATTACATACATGCCATTACATACATACCATTACATACCATTACATTACATTACATACCATTACATTACATGACATGACATTACATTACATTACTTACATACATACATTACGTACATTACAGTATTACATACATTACATACATTACATACAATACATACATTACATACATCACATACATTACATTACATTACATTGCATTGCAGTGCATTGCATTACATTACATTACATTCCATTACATTACATACATACATACACAAATATGATCCCATATGAATATGGATCAAATATCTATTATCTATCCATATTGTTGAATCATATGAATATGTAAAATGATCTTGTAATATGAATATATAGATGCAATTATGTAGCATTATGTAATGTAAACTGTATAAGATCTACGAATCCGCACGCCCTCGCACCTCTTCGCTTGTTTAATTTGGCTTTCCAAAAAGCGTCGATCATCTTCCAACGCCTCAGCCGCAGCCCTTGGTGGGAACCGTCCCAAGCGTTTCAGTTATCCCGAAAAAAATTGGAGGAACTCACAAGGTTGAAACTGCAAATGAGGATTGGTTGTATTTCAAATCGTCCTTGGTCATTGGTTGAATTCCTGAATTTTCAATCATCCCATGTCCAGGGTTCAAGTTCCGTTCGCGCTGAAATTCCAACCTGGGATCACCTGCAAAAATTCCAAGTTCTAGTCATTAAACTCATTCAACTGATGTTCCATGAAACAATAGTGTTTCCCTGAAATTTTGGCCTTTTCTGTCATGTTTTCCCTCCAATTCTGTGACTCCGGACTTCTGCTTTGCCTTTCCACTTGTCCAGCTCCTCAAAGCCATCATGGGACCAACTACAGTTTCTTTTCGCGATCTGAGGGACCAAAAGAGCACTTTGGGATGAAAGGACCAATTATGGCTACCGACAAGATTCAGCATTAGTTTGTCATTACAGTCATTATGTACATGTTTTATCCTGGTGCATCAAAGCATGTCTATCTCCTATGATCCATGAATAGTTCATATGGCCTAGGCCACTAAAAAGGATACCGAACACTCATTCCATGGGTGTCAGGGTTTGTCCCAAAAAATGGGTCCGGCCCTCATGTTTCCCAACCTTGGCTTGTTTTCACGCGAATCCCTCCTGTTCCTGATTTTCCCGGACCCCTATTTTGACACATCTGACATATCTCACTGTTTCCGGCAGAAAATTCCATGTCCTTCTTGTACTTCTTGACCAGCTCATCAAGTCTTAAAGCCTCGTTCATGAACCAGTCCAGTTCCTGCGCAAAATCCGCGTGGTTTCATAGGGTTCCCCCTGAAAATAGGGTGCCCCAAAAAAAAACTATGAATTATCAGTTTGTCATATCATGGTCTAGCATCGTTTTCTTTATGGTCAGGGTCAAAATTGGGTCCCTATTTCAAGATATTTCAAGGGAATATTCGTATCGAAAATGACAATAGCCACGAATTTCTGTCCACAAGGCTCAAAGTCTTGACTCACCCAATCTTGTCTCATGCTCCAAGTTGAAAGGCAAAACCTGTGGGTTTTGGCTCCAAGTTAAACATTATGGCTACATATGGCCACTTGGATGTATGAATCACTTCATCACTTTTTGATGATCATCAGAATCGTGCGAGGAACCTTCTCCAACGACTGGATCTTGGCATCTCTTCGAGTTTTCGTCTCCTCCTCATCAGCCTGTGGGCTGAACTGCCGATGCAGGTGTCCTTTTTTTGGCAGCTTGAATGGGTGTATCTGAAAATTGGGAACAGCAAAACAACCATGCAAAACTACTGTTGTTTTTTTAAACGAGGTTCCAGTACCAAAATGGACCTACTGGTACGTGGTAGATCTTTGGGTAGGCAAACTCAGAAACGTTTGGTTCATGAAAGCACCTTCTGCTTCAGCTCTTTAAATTCCTTTTGCACCGTGAACCTGCAAAAA